ATATATTATATATATTAATTAAGTTATATTAATAAAAATTCGTACAGAAATTTCCGAGAGGGATGTAAAAAAAAAATAAATGAATAGAAATAAATGAATGAAAATTTCCTTTAATTACTTAATTTATGTATTTTTGTTATACAATACATATAATATTCCATAAAACAGAAAGAAGAAATTTTAGAAAAAAATATAAACAAATAGCCTTGTTTAATTTTAAAATTATTTAATTTACTTATATTTTATGCGACATTCCATAAAACAAATAGACAGTTAGAATGTTTAATAATTAAGACATATCTAATTTCATTCCGATACGTACATATATTTTATTAGTAACTGTATTAGTAATTAAATAATGTATTAAATGTACAAAGCAATATTCAATTCTTTATACTTGTTAAGTTAAAAGGCATGATAGTATATCGCGCCATCATGTATTTATTTCTTGATTAGTAAACTTCGTCGCACGTGATATTGTAGTCAGGATATTTTTTCTTCAATAACTCAATCGACACTTGATGATCTGCTTTGCCATAACCCTATAAACCAAATTAGTCAAAAATGATTAACTGTCTATTACATCTTCCAAAAATAAATGTACAATAATGTCATGACCGTTACATGACAAAATTTAAGTCTTTTTATCATGCTCAATTAACATATTCGCCAGCATAATGAATTAATTGGCAGCAATTGTTACGACTGGTAGCAATTGTAGACTTCGTTTTATTCAATTTTAATGACATCGTCACAGCTGTCACGTTGATTGCAGCAATGCGCGAAAGGAAAAGGAAATAAAAAAAAAATAAAGAAGGTGGAAATTAAACTTCTAGATAAACTGTTAGATAAAATTGTGATGATAAATTGAAGTATGTTGTATTTTAAAGAAAGCTAAATGCGAGTGCTAGTAAAAAAAGACTTTCAAATCAGTAAAAAGTTCCGAGGTTGAAAGAAAAACATTATAAATGCACCAAATAACACAAATGAATAATTTAATGGATTTCTTTATAATAATTATATTATTTGTTTTTATAATAATGTACTAATATTGAATCGCAATTTAGTATTAATCGGCACATTCAAGCTGAGCAAAGCTGCTAGCCTGCTTGGCAAGTGATTGAATGTGCTTGATTGAATCTATAAGTGACAACCAATCATATTCATTTGCTTGGTAAGCAAACTAGCCGCTTTGTCGATTTGAATGCGCCCAATAATAATATAATATTGAATTAATCCTCTATTTATATCTACGGTCATGTGAAATCTCGCATCTTCCATCAACAACCTAGATCTTTGAGCTTCAATGCAGATTTTTTTATAGGTGTAATTTGTATTCTATCATAATTCATAATCAAAATATTGATTACGCTTTTAAAGTTCAACTGGCTGGCGAAGAGTTAATATTAATTTGAAACGTCGCGTGTTTCTAATTGATCTATAGCAAGTATCAAAGAGAGAGAGAGAAAGAGAGAGAGAGAGAGAGAGAGAGAGAGAGAGAGAGAGAGAATTACATAAAATATTTTATAGTTTTTAATGTTATAGAAGAATCTCACAGTTATTATAAATATTAATAAAATAACTTGATATTTTTTAATTTTTCCATACATAATATCGTTACTCTTCGCGTAAATTTTACGGTATTAAATCATATTCTCATGGGATCAGGAATAATCTTTAAGAAGACAGAAGTAGACAAAATACGCCCCCGTTGCTTGTAATTAGCGATACGAAAACAGAGCATCAAGGATGATGTTAAAATTATTCTCCCCCGGGCGTTGTTAGATTTAAAGAGGGCGACCTTCTTTAAATCTATAACTAATATCCTTTCCTTCTATTCGACTCTTTAGTTTTTTAATATACACACTCGAATCTTTTTCTTAAATCTTGCGTTTTAAAAAATATTTTCTTGTCAATCTTAATTTCTCGTAAAGCTCTTGTAATATGAATTATCCGTCTTCCAGAATGGATTGCAAAATTCAATTTAAATTCTCGAATAAATAATTCAAAATGCTTCCGCTGCTTTAAGATATATTGGCTTGTTCATTCCTTATAATGTCTATATATTACTAAGATATTTTCTCTGAAATAGGATGAATATGCAGCCTGTTGAGGCGTTCATATCATATTTTATGAAACTTCGCTATATCTATCATACTTCTTATACTTAAATTTATTTACTAAAGATAACGGTCTGATAGCGTCCTTATTTTCGTCCTTACAAATTGCAACTTGTAGCCAAATTGAAGTTATACAACTCTTTATGTAATAAACTCAACGCAGTATGATTAAAATTTACATTGAGAAAGGTTACTAGCAGTAACCCTGACGTCAAGATGTCGAAAGAATTTCAAGAGATAGCAGAGTTAAAGCAATGTATTTTAATTAAAATAAACTATCTACTCTTTTTATATTATAAATAAATAAAACAAATATTCAGATTAATACAAGACGGCTTATGATAATTATCGATATAATAATATGGTATTATATAAAATTATATAAGAAAAAAAAAGAAATTAAAAGAAAAAAAATATTACTTTAAATAAAAGCATAAAAAAAGTTTTGTAATTAAAAAACACAATGCTTGATCTAATGTATTGCGCGTTTAGCATGTCATAAAATTAAATGATATCGTGTGACAATAAAAACTTATGACACCGTCCGAATTTTTGCAACACACTCGTAATAATTATCTTATTTATGCGAAAGCCCTACGATCGTAAATGTAGCATAATATAGCTTAATAAAATCCAACTGCGTTACGGAAGTCGACGGACATTTCCAAGTTTACGTAAATGCAATTGCAATTTTACGCTTGGAGGTCGATCGACCTGCAGCTTCAAGGTTTATTTGTACGCTAGAAAGCGTTTCGCAACGAAATAAAATTTTTGTTGTTGAATATGAAATATTCTGTCTTAATATTGATTTATTAATTACACTGTAAAAAATCAACTATTTTCTCTCTCCAAAGTGTGATTATTTTAAAGATTTTTTTTCACGCTAAACACGATATCGTATGAAATGGAGCGACAATCAATTTAATATTGTACCTCAATTTTTACTAAAAATCCTGACATGTTACACAAATTCTAACGACTCGTGTTGAGTGTGAAAAAGTTTTCAAGATATATATTATTGTACTTTCAGAGAAAAAAAGTAATTTTTTGAATTGTGTAATAATGATATAAAAAGTCTAAAATTTAAACAATCATAATTTGATGAAAATAAGTCGCGCAATCGTAAACTAAAATTCATTTGAAAGCTCTCAAATTAAAAAGCTTTTAGGTACCATTTATTAAGAAACAAACTTTTATTCTGTTGTAAAAAAATGTTAAAAATGATCATTTTTCATTTATTTCACCTTAATTTATTCAAAATATAAATATGCTACATAAACTCTATCGTGTTCAACGTGAAAAAATGTTCGAAATATGTACTACATACACTTCCGAGAAAATTTGAGTGTTGAATTTAAAAAAGAATCAATTTTATTAATGTCAACGTGCGTTTCGTTTAAATTCTTTTCCTATTCTTTCAACTATTGTGTTTATGGTAATATAATTTTGGTAATATTGGGAATATATAAGAAGTACACTCCACTGAAGGAAATTTCTATTTTACACGTACAATTCAACTGATAAAACGCACGTAAGTTCCTATTTGATTATATTTGCGTCAGATTGCACCAATTCTATCGGTCAAACGAATTTAATCTGCTAAAGTTCGACGTATGATGACTGAACGTGGGCGTAAAGCTCGTAACGAGCAACAGCATGGGGGGGTGAAAATGTTTATGCGCTGTTAATCATAGATATTCCTCTATCCACATTTCAAGCCACTAACTGATATTAGGAATATATCACGGTTCACTTTAGACATTCATGTCAACCAATTGTCAATTTTATTTAAATAGAAGTACGAACATAATTTCGATTAACAAAAGATCTTTACATTGGAAAATAAATGAAATATATATGTAGCGCACAATATACCACAGTGAATAGTAAAAAATAAGTAGAAAATACAGAATATACAAAATCACAATCGGAAAATCAAACAGTTATTATTTTGTAATAAATAGACGGAAATAGATGAAATACTATACTTACTAGAAGAAATCCGTTATTTTTATTTGAACAAAAACGTAAAAAATAAAATATTTTTATGTCGGTTAAATCAAGGATGTTCGAAATTGATCAAATAATAAATATTCCGATAAATTTCATACTAAATTCCAAGACTTACTTGCGAAGATCCATAAACTCTGATGATCTTTTCGTCGGGATCGTGCTCAATTTTTCCACCGCCTAAGCAATTCGCTTGTAGACCAGCATATTTCTTGATTTGTTCTTCTACTTCGTCGAATATATCAGCTAAAACAAAAATAAAATAATGTATATAATAATGGAATTCGACATAATTTTAAGACTTATATTAAACCCATCAATTGGATGAGATTACAAAGTAGAGTGCGTAAGTATCTTAACATTAATTCAATTTGTGACGTTAATATTTTAGCTGTGATTCCGTTTCCAATCTAACAAATCAAATCGGCGCGCAATTTATAAAACTAAAAAATATAGCATATAAATGTTAAGTACTAAGATCCGCTCTAACCGAAAATAGGATTCTTTCTCTTATTTGATTTGTACTGAACTATTTTTTTTTTACAGTTAACGTGTTGATTGTATTATCAAAATTTTTTAATTTTGTAAAAAGATATTTGTAAAAAATAAAGTTATATAATATACAATTTTGAATCAAATAAATAACTAAATAACAATGTAAAATAAAAAAATGTGCAATTTAATACATTTTCATGGATATTAAGCTTATTGAATCACATTACATAATATTTTATTATTGTATTATATGCTTACAATAATAAAAATTTCACCATAACAGTAAAACATAGATATAATAAAACTCGTTAGACAAATCATGTGTTAAACGTAAGATTTATTAGTTTTTAAAAAAGATTCTTTAAAAATATCTAATATATATTTTCTCATTAGTATCTTGCATAGTTTAACAGAAAGATATGTTTAAACGATGAACTTTTTCAATTCAAATATAGGCAGCAAAGCTATTAATAAGATTTGACGAATACAGAATGAATCATGCTGAAGATAAATAAAATCACGATCATTTTATATCCTGTATCAATATGTTGTTATTGCTTCATTTTGAAGGAAGACGACAGTTATAATTTCCGCTT